AACGCTACGGCCCCACCCAACGACACCGACCGCCGCGCCCCTTTTGCACCTCTCGAGAACCTCGCGAGCGCGCGCAGCAGCTGGTGGCGGGGTAGCCTCGCCTAAGGGAAGGTCCAGGCCAGCAGTCGATAACCCGGCTGGTTTTCCCTCGTGCCGCACCTCCCTCCAATCCTTCAAAAGCTGAGCAACAGCGTCGATCGGCCCCGCTGGAGCTCCAGCTGGCCCCTGGGGGTCCGAGGCTCATCCCTGAGGCCCCTTGGCCCACTTGTAGACCGCTCCTCCTCCTGGCGCCAAAGATTGGGAAACCGATCTCCTCCACTCCTGCCCTCTTGCTCCTGTGCTCGGCCCCCCCCTGGCCCGCCGGGCCGCGCGCGGCCTGCATGGCTGAATAGACGCCCCCCACGCCGCCGTCGCTGGACAGCTGCAGAGAAGAACGGAAACACTTCCAACCTGGAACGTCAGCTAAAATCGAATTGGACCTAGGGAGCCTCCAGAGCAGATCTCGAAGTCCCTTGGAATCCCACTGATGCCCTCGTCCACGACATAGTCCAATTCCCCAAGCCAAACCTGATATCTCCTCAACCCCCGAGACTGTTTCGAACGCTCGGGAAACGGCCCCTCGACGTGCTCCACAAATTTCTTCTCCATTTTCGAAAACCAGAACTCCCCCCACCGTGCTTCGTTCGATCCGATGCTGGAATGCTGAAGCCGTTGCAGAGCTCGGCCTCCACGCAGTCGCACAGACGCGCGTAAACACGCCTGAAACCTTCGGCCGTCAGCGCCGTGTCGAGCGCCTCAAATAGAGAAGCTAAAAGAGTCCAATACTCGGCGGTGGGACTGGTCCCATCGCCCCCCCCCCCCCCCCCCCCGTCGGAAATCGCATGGCCATCCTGACGCGCTGTTTCATTCGCGGGCGTGCATCCGCACGCGTGGTGAAGCCTTGCTGGGAAATGCGTCTCGTTGGCCGAGCCTGGCAGACGTTTGCAAGATCCAGCATATCCGACTAGCGCAAGTGAAACAACGAAGTAGTCCAACTCGCGCTAAACTTTGCCTGCGACATGCTGGGTCGTTAACGCTGACGACCACCCCCGCCTCAGTTTAACCACTCCTGAAAGACCGTGGACTCCAGAAGGTATACAATTGAAATGACTCGGGATGACGCGCGGCTTTTGAGCCCCAAACAAGAATTCACCCAACTGGTTCAGTGTTGGTTGCCCCAGAGATCCTCGGGCACCTTCGCCATCTGGAAGGCGCGCGCTGACGACGCAGGTAGAAGCCCCCTCTCGCACGCACCAATTCAGCCAGACAGTGGAGCAACGCGAGTGGAGGAGATGCCCGCACACCTGAAGTGCCTCGCCCACTCCGACATGCTGACGAACTGCAACACCGACGCCCGAGGAGACCCCCCTTGGTCCGCCAGCTCTGCTGGAGAGAGAAAGAGAGAGAGAGAGAGAGAGAGAGAGAGAGAGAGAGACGAAGCATGAAGCCCTCGCTGTTCATGGATTGCTCCTGATGGCTGACGTTCTCCTTTACTGTTCTGCAACCCTGGAAAAAGAAAACGGAAACATCTTTCAACTTCGCATCCACGAGCAGCGACTGGGCCCCTTGCCATCCTGCAACACTTGCCGTGGCTATATGCCAGGCCGAACTTGAAGAGATACTCTGCAGCTTAGCCTCGTCGGCCTCGCCTCTGCTGGCGTCGGCCCGGCCAGTGCTTAGAGGGCTGATGCGACGGCGCTGCTCCTTTGCCTGCACCTGGCCCTACGCCCACGAGCGACTCGGCGCAGGATCGGCGCCGTCCCCGCGTCTTGCCCCTGGCGCCGACGCCCCTGCCGAAAACCGGCGTCGGCGCAGCCGCCTCGGGCGCGGCCGCCGCTGGAGCTGCTGCCGGTGCCCCCGCGCCAGCCCCCCCGCCCCCCCTATCGCAGCATCAGCTCCTCCATCACCTGGTGCTTCAGCTGCTGTGCCCGCCCGAAGTTCTGCGCGGCGCCGCTCACCTTCAAGTCGCGTCTTGAGCTGCTCGCGTTCCTGCCTGTGCCGCTCTGCCTTCTGCTTGCGTTATCCAAGCATCGTCTGCGCGAGCTCGGAAAACTTCTGCTTGAGCTCTTGCACCCACTTCTTCGTCTCCTGCTTGTCTTTGTCGTCGACGTCCACGACCTCCGCCAAACCGAACAAGTCCTCTCCACACGCAAGTTCCAACTCTGCCTGCTTGCCCCCCAGCAGTGCGGTGGGAGAAAGATGAGGAACTGGGGGGGGACCTGGCTGGACGCGAGGCGCCACCGAGGCATGCAGCTCGGTGATCGTACCCTTGTAAGAGTTATCCTGCTCTTCCAACTTCTGGAGGATGCCTGAGGTATTCTCGCGCTGGCCTTTGACGGTCATCCACCCCGACTGTCTCGCGCAACAGGTCGGTCTCGACCATATTCGTGCTTTTGTGCGCATGGTCCGCTCGCATCTGTGGCGGCATCTCACACTTGTCTTTGACTGCCAACACCTGCTG